GTCGGAATAGACTGTGGTGCGTCCGTAGCGGAACATTACCCGGCACTGAAAAATGAGCAGTCGGAATAGACTGGTGCATCCATAGTGGAACATTACCCAGCACTGATAAAGAAATGAGCAGTTGGAATAGACTGTGGTACGTCCGTAGCGGAACATTACCCGGCACTGAAAAAGAAACGAGCGGTCGGAATAGACTGTGGTGCGTCCGTAGGGGAATACTACCCAGCACTGAAAAGAAACGAGCAGTCGGAATAGACTGTGGTGCGTCTGTAGAGGAATACTACCCGGCACTGAAAAGAAACGAGCGGTCAGAATAAACTGTTGCATCCGTAGAGGAATACTACCTGGCACTGAAAAGAAACGAGCGGTCGGAATAGACTGTGGTGCGTCCATAGAGGAATACTACCCAGCACTGAAAAGAAACGAGCGGTCGGAATAAACTGTTGCATCCGTAGAGGAATACTACCCGGCACTGAAAAGAAACAAGCGATCGGAATAAACTGTTGCATCCGTAGAGGAATACTACCTGGCACTGAAAAGAAACGAGTGGTCGGAATAGACTGTGGTGCGTCCGTAGAGGAATACTACCCAGCACTGAAAAGAAACGAGCGGTCGGAATAAACTGTTGCATCCGTAGAGGAATACTACCCGGCACTGAAAAGAAACAAGCGGTCGGAATAAACTGTTGCGTCCGTAGAGGAATACTACCTGGCACTGAAAATAAACGAGCAGTCGGAATAGACTGTGGTGCGTCCGTAGAGGAATACTACCCAGCACTGAAAAGAAAAGAGCAGTCAGGCCAGGAGCAGGCACGGGCAGGAAATGAAGTGCCTGTTGCTAAGTCAGGAAGCCCCTCTGGAAAGGCTGCAGGCGGTGCAGCTCCAGCTTTGCATCCTGGTGTGCTGGAAAGGCAGAACTGCAGAGGCTTCAGGGGCTTGGGGAGGGCGATAGGAGCGAGTGGCTCAGGGCTTCTGGGCGCCGATGCTGTTCTGTGTGTGTCCACCTGTGGGTCTGCCACCAAGGCGACCTGCCGTCCACTCTGGACTCTGGAGGTGACTAATGTGCCACCATGCAGGGTGTTGGTGGGGAGGCTATGGGGGGGCAAGGGAGATGGGAACTCTGTGCCTTTCTCTCAATTTTGCTGTGAAGCGTAAATTGTTCTTTAAAAAGTCTATTTAATTTTTTTTTAAAGACTGGGGAGCCTAGTGCCTTTTCCCACTGTGGTGAGAGGGAGAGACAGCTTGGCCCCCAGGAAGGATCTGTGGGGACAGGTGCCCCTGGAGGCTTCAGCCATGGAGGAGCTGGTGTGGAGTGGGCTGGGTGGGGTGGAGGGAAGCGAGTTCATGCTGAGGGCCTGGCCATTCAGGCACTTGTGCCGCCCGGGGAACCAGGGTGCCTGTTTCTGGAGCTGTATGGGCTGCTCATGGGGGTGTCAGGGAAGAAGGCAGCGTGGGGAGGACACCAGGCAGCCACAGGCCAGGCGGGGGGTGGGGGGGGACGGAGCCCAGGACTGCAGGGAGCCTGTGCCTGCACCCCCTGCAGAAACGGGGTCATCCCCTAACAGGCACAGGCCTGCCCTGTCCTAGCCTGTGAGGTAGGGACAGAGGAATAGGTAACACATGCCACATCTCTAGGCACGGCCTCACATGATGGGGAGGGGCTGCGTTTCACACCAGCATCGAGGTGGCCGTGTTAGCGTGGCCTGAGCACCTCCTGCTCCTAATCAAACCTCCTTCTCCCCCAGCTGGACATTTTATGCAACGAGGAGATCCTGGGCAAGGACCACACGCTCAAGTTCGTGGTTGTCACGAGGTGGAGATTCAAGGTGAGGTGGTGTTGTCGTGAGACGCGTGATTTGATTTTCAGAGTCTGCTCTGAACGGCAGTGACTTTGCTGTGCATCTCTTATCTAAGAGCTTAAAAGTGATGACTCGGGCCAAGTGAGGTGGCTCATGCCTATAATCCCAGCACTTTGGGAGGCCGAGGTGGGCAGATCACTTGAGGTCAGTAGTTCAAGACCAGCCTAACCAATATAGAGAAACCTCGTCTCTACTAAAAATACAAAATTAGCCAGGCATGGTGGTGGATACCTGTAATCCCAGCTACTCAGGAGGCTGAGGCAGGTTAATCACTTGAACCCGGGAGGCGGAGGTTACAGCTAGCTGAGATTGCGACACTGCACTCCAGCCTGGGCAACAAGAGTGAAACTCCGCCTCAAAAAAAAAAAGGAAAGAAAAGTGATGACTCAGCAGCAGCCAGTTCTGGTCTTTCTGAAATCATCAACCCCAGACAACCCCAGAGCCAGCCTGCAAAGCAGCAGCTGAGCTCCAACGGGCACAGGGCCCTGCTGGGACACTGTTGAGGTCATGAATGCCACGAGCAGAGGGTCCCCTGGGCACCTCTGAAGCAGGAAACCGATGACGGAACCCTCCCACCTCCAGCTGGTGCTGCTTCCCAGGGTCGGGGTGAGAAGCCAGGACCAGCCTGGGGCTGGGCCGGAGGGCTTTGAGGGAGAAGGGAGCAGGGGAGCAGCAGCCAGGGGGATGACAGGTACAGGTGGGATGACAGGTACAGGTACAGGGGGATGACAGGTCACCTGGGACTGGGGGAGAGGGCACGTGTCTTCTCAGCCTCTCTCCCCCAGCTCAGCGTTGCTCAGGACTGAAGGGTCTCTGGTGTAGCCTCGCATGGACTGTGTCCCCTGGGATGTGCTTCCTCAGCGCCCCCTCCGGATGAAGTAGGTCTGTCTCTTGCCTCCACCCGGGTAATCGGGCGCTGTGTGTTCTTGTGTCTTCCAGAAGGCGCCGCTCCTGCTGCACTACAGACCCAAGATGGACTTGCTGTGAGTGGCTCCACGCGGCGCCCACAGACTGGGCCCAGTACCCCTGGGTGCTCCTGCTCGCCGCGCTGAAGAACATTGCCTCTGGATGTCGTATGGACCAGACTTCTGAATAGAGAATATTTATAACTTTTGTATGAGAGAGAATTCACACTCACCAAGACACTACCAGCACCACGTTTACAGAGGGTGAAAACACTTCACAGGCTCCCCCGTGCTTCAGCCTCGCAGGCCACAGTCACGCCTGCAGGCAGCCCGGTTCCGAGTCACTTCCGACACAGGCTCCTCTGCTTGCTTTCCAGGTCTTGAAAATCTGAATTAACTTCGGTTTAGTTTATGAGTTAGGGTTCAACATAACCCTCAAAAATAGTCGGACTTTTATTGAACCCTTCCTAAGTCATTGAAAAAATGTCTTTTCATGGTGAATGATATTTATGTTGCCTTTAGCTTCTTGAAGATTTAGAAGTTATATAAAAATTTAATTTAAAAGCAAACCAAAAGAGGTTTCCATTAACATTATGACTTAACCATTGTATTTAATTTTCCACTTTATGAAACACAACAACAGCAGCTCCCTGACTGGTTCCCTTTTGACCGTGCAGCGGTCGGCACTTGGACTCACTCGCGACAGACACTTACCTGGGGCCGACACACCCAGGCCTGGAAACGGGACCCCAAACTCCGAGTTGCGACTTGACACGCTCAGCAGGTAGACCAGAGGCCGTGTGACCAGCGCAGTGCTGGTTTGCAGAACAGTTCTTCTTTTCAACATTACTCGTATTAACAATGGCACAAATTGTTGAGTGCCGCCATTTGATTTCCTATGTTTTCTTTCCCCGCTTTGATTTTGCTAAAGGGAGAGGCAGGGGTGGTTGGGATCAGAGCTCTCTGGGAAGGCCCCACGGATGCAGCACCTGGCAGCCCTGGGGAGGGTTCACTGGTGGTGGCTTCAGGCTCATGCCCAGATGCACTCACTGCCCCCTTTGTCCAAGGCCTCCCCTTCCCCTCTACTGGTGGGAGGAGCTTGTGTGCTCTGTGGCCTGTTACTAGAAGGGCGTTTTTCCGAGCGGAGGGTTGTGAGGGATGGTAAGCAGCTGAAGGGTTTAGAGGGAAGGCGGCCCCCACGCTGCAGAACCTGCATTTCAGCCGCAGTCCGTTTGCACCATTAGCCCCTCTCCTACCAGATGGTCATGCTTTTGTCACATTAGAGAATAAACTGCCAGCGTGCACATGTTTTTTTCCTTTGAAACGGTAATTTGGAAGTGTGGAAAGGCCAGGAGGAGGAGAAGGTCTGTTTTCTGGAGCGGCTGGGGTGTTGTCCGGGCGATTCCTGTTTATTTCTTGTGGAACTGAATCCCTCCTCCCTCTGCTCCCCGAGGGCCTAGGTGCTCCCTGGTCACCATTCAGGCTTTCCAAGCAGCCATCCACCTTGGAGATTTTTTCCTTGAATTTTGCTGTTTTCTTCCACTTCCTTTAGATAAAAAGCAGCTCAAGAGACCTCATCGTAGGGATGAGGAAACACCCATATTCCATCTGAGCGATTGTCAGTGTAAGGCCTTTTAAAACATAAAAGCAAGTTCTTTGTTAGGAATTGGTCAAAATTCACCTCTGTCTTTAAGCCCATCACCTCCCAGGACGGTTTCAGTTACTGTTACCTAAGCTTGCTATTCGTCCAAATCATTTTCTAGAGTCACTGTATAAGGGTCTATGAGTGGCTGTGTATGAATGAATATTACCTGTCTACCTCAGAATATACATACTGCTGAAGCATTCTGTGCAACCGTGTGTGATCACAGTGCAGCTGTCAAGTGTCACAGTCGAACTTCGGCATTTTCCTGTGTGGCAAAACAAGGAAGGATTAAACAGTTACAAGCCTCCAAATTCAAATAAAATCAAATCACAGTTCAGACTAAACTGAGTATTGTTGTAATACTCTCACAATATATATTTGTAACTTTGTAGCTATCTTTGAAATCACTTGACTTTGCTATGGTGCTAAGCTGATACATTTAAATACACAGAGACGGGTGAGCGGAGCCCGTGTTGCTGTCTCCAGCCCGTGGTGACCCTGCTTTTGTAACCGCGTTAACCTGACGAAACCTCAGCAGCAGAGGCCCCTATTTTTCTAGGAGTTCATAGTGCAGACGGTCTTCACTACAGGACTTGGCGCTGGGGCCTCTGCCTCTTGTCTGACCTTGCAGCCTTGGTTGTGGGAGGCGGGAGCACGATGGCCCCGCCGTCTGTGGAGCCTCTAGGCAGCCTTCTTTCCTGTCAAGCTCTCATTTCACAGAAAAAGGCTGAATTCCATTTTTCCAGCATGACAGCCAGGATTGGTTAATGGTTGGATTCTGTTGTGTTTTTTTTTTTTTTTTTTTAACAGATGGAGTTACTGTGAAGAGTTTTCACAACTATTTACGCTGGTAAAACAAATGCTGTTAAATCACCTTATGCGTCGTTTTCAACAGCAGTGGGGCTAATTACCCAGAATACGGTCTCACCGATGCAGTTTTCATGGAAATAGAAAATTCAAATAGAATATATAATATTGAATTTAAGATTTGGGGGGTTAAAAAAAGAAAACTTAACTTTATAAAATTATTTATTCTATTTTAAGCCTTCTATCATATTTTCCCATCCAGTTGTTTGGTTTCTGTGGTCCAGCTTTATTTACAGGCATATAAAATGAAATTGTGAGATGTTTTGCAAGCTTCTTTTTACTTTGAGTAGCTTTTAATTTGTATGTTTTTGTTTTATGTGGATGAAGAGCATTTTTTTAATGCTTTTGTGCAATAGGTTCCAACACACATTTATTAGACATCTGTTTAAATTGTAATGTAGCATTTATTCTGCTAAACTGAAAGGGAATATAGGTGGAACTCCAAAATGTGTACATTCAGCTGTTTTGTTTTTCCTTTTTCATGGGTTATTGTGAGGATGCTGTTATTGGGGTTGTGTGTGAGTGCCTGTGAGCCAGTGATGCCTCGGGCCGCGCTGTGGGGCCACCTCGGTCCTTCCTGGGTCCTGGTGCCTTGGCCCCCAACATGCTTGTGGCCAGGCCGCCCTGGTGCGGGGCCACGTGGCCTCAGACTGTGAGAGCGGAGCTGCCCTGGCCCAAGCGCTGCAGCGGCCTGAACCCCTGGGCTTTGCAGCCTTGCTTGTTTTCTCTGAACGGCAGCAGGACGGCATTCACAGCGATTCAAAGGGTGGCATTGGGTTGGACATTCTGGGTACGAGCCAGCCTGTTCCCACATTGTACGTGAATGTTTCATATGCTCTCAAAACATAGAAAATAAGTTTAGTGCACATAGCTAAATCACTAAACATCCAGTTTCTCTGTTTCCTCAGGAAGTCATTACTGCACCACCACATCACGTGACCTTAACATGAGCAATGTATTTCTCTGCCTTGACGTTTAAATAAACTAAATAAATTGAGATAAGTGGATTAGAAAATCATTCAAATTATACCATAATCTGTACAAATATTATGTCCCCTGCCAGGCAGGGGACAGTGCAGGCAGTGGCCACATGGCCAGGGCCCCGCAGGAAAGCGCTGAGGCCTCCCTCAGCCACCAGGTGTCCTTCGCACTCAACGGTGCATCTGAGGAACGAACTGCAGCTTGAGTGTCCCCTAAGATGTGCCTGCCCTCCGTGTGAACGTCCACTCCTGTGGTTTAATTGGCTGTCAGACGCATTTTCCCAGACGAAAGCAAGGTGGGGTTAGGAGACGGCAGTGCAGCCACCCAGCCTTTACCAGCAGCGTGCGGCAGACAAAGGCAGTGAGGTGTGGAGGTGATCACGCAGATTGATGTTTTTGACTGTTTAATTTGAAAGTTTACATTTTTTATGCTTTGTGTTGGTGTGTAATTTTTGTACACTTGGTGGCTAGTTTTTGTCTAAAATCTTTTTTGGAATATTGCTTAAATGTTTTTATTTTATGATAGTGAAGCTTGTATTCAGTGTTTTGCCAATTAATATTATATGCTTGTAATAAAAGCAAAAGAAAAACTTAAGTGAAAGTCTTCCTGGCTGGAAATGTATTACATGAAACATTTGTGCGAGCATGAGAGAGATGACTTGCTCATTGGATGAGCAATCCTGTGGGTATTGGACAGACCACTCAGGCAGCCTGGCCACACACGCACTGGCCACACATGCGTGTGCTCAGACCACGTGCCTGCACACAGCACACATGTTCACACACAAACCACACACGAGCCCACGGCTCCCTCCCTCACCCCAGCCCTCCCCGCTCCCAGGTTAACCACCATCTCGATTTGCATCAGGTGGCATTTGTAAATTTTCACCCTGGGTACAACCCTCATTTAAATTGGTCTGGCATTTGCTACCAGAGTTTGGGCCAGAAACTGTAAAGCTTCGTTTGTCTCCTTGCAGAAAGACAGGCTGCTGCAGTTTGGAGCTGGCTATGCCAAGGAAAATACGGCTAAAAAAGAACCTACTGATTCCCATAGATGTGTCAACTTGAGAGATCAATGTGCCATCTCCCTAGACAATTTGCTACCCCTCCCCCAAAAAAGCACTGTGACTGAAACTTTAGTTTTTAAAGATTAATATACAACCATTTTGAAACTGAGAAAACTAGAGTTGGAAGGAAAGGAGAATATGGCCAAAATTATATTCTCGCAACCTTCAGATCAGCAATCTTTAAAAGTAAGTTTAGTCTTAAGACTTACATAGGCTGGGTGAGATGGCTCATACCTGTAATCCCAGCACTTTGGGATGCCGAGGTGGGCAGATGACCTGAGGTCAGGAGTTTGAGACCAGCCTGGGTAACATGGGGAAACCCTGTCTCTACTAACTAACAATACAAAATTTAGCTGGGCATGGTGTTGGGCACCTGTAATCCCAGCTACTCGAGAGGCTGAGGCAGGAGAATAACTTGAACTTGGGAGATGGAGGTTGCAGTGAGCTGAGATTGCGCCACTGCACTCCAGCCTGGGTGACAGAGCAAGACTCCATCTTAGTTTAAAAAAAAAAAAAAAAAGACGTAACTGACTCAAAGTGTATTTTACTTATTTTCGGCAAGTCCATCTTAGAAATGTCAAAGTATTGGCTGAAACCCCAAGCAGACAATAATGTCAGCATCAACTGCAGGGAGTGGACACAAGACCTCAAAATTGGGTCCACCCATGCTGGGGACTGGGCCACAAAGCCATGGCAGCCATGGGCGCCTGGGGTCTCAGAGCTTCAAGCTCCACCTGAGCATGGTGGCGGGGGGCGTGCACCAGGACCCCAGAAAAAGGTACCTCTGGAAGCCGGTTCCCATGGGTTCTGTAGCAGGTTGAGGCTGCTGTAGCAGGGATGCTCTCAGCAGAGCCAGGCCTCGGCCTCTGCTCACTGGTGGTTTTGTTTCTCCCGTGCAGTTCTGTGTGCATAAGGCAAAAGTCCCGTGTTAGTCATTCATGTGTGTTATTACACCCGTGACTGGGTGAAGGCCGAACAGTATCCCCTGAAATGCAGCGGAGGGACAGAAAAACAAAGACATTGGCTGTGATGAGACCCGCACTGTCTGCGTTCAGGAAGGCAGGGCCTTCTGCGGCTATGAGGCCTCTGAGGCCCGCCAAATCCATCCAATGTAGATGTCTGTGTGGCTTCTGGTTTTTAAGGCTAAAACTGCCTCGAGGGGCACTGAGTCCCTCCTGAGGGGCTGTGGCGGGCTGGCCTGCATTGGTGAGGAGGCCTTTGTCCTGATGGCGCTCTGCAGAAGCTGCACCGAACGTCCCCGTTAATAGAATTATATTGCTGAGTTCTGCTGACGTAGAGATGCCACCGTGCTTACATAAATCGCAGAGCCCTAAATACATAAATAAGCAAAGCGTCCTTTCTCGGACCCACGTCACTCCTCTGTCAAGGAAAGTACACAAAGCACATTTGTTTTACATTTTTGGCGCCTTCTGCTCTGATTGTGAGGAAGGAGATGCTCCCTGGGCCCACCCCGCCCACCCCAGAGCGTGTGCCCACACCACTTCCCTGGGAGGCTGTGGCCTGCTCTAGGGATGACACTCCTGTTGCAGTTGGGCAATTATTTGACTGATACATTTATCATATGGTTTTTTCTTTTTTTGTAGACATAGTTTCGATGTGTCGCCCAGGCTGGAGTCCGGTGGTGCGATCTCAGCTCACTGCAACTTCTGCCTCCTGGGTTCAAGCAATTCTCCTGCCTTAGCCTCCCACGTAGCTGGGATTACAGCTGCTCACCACCACACCTGGCTAATTTTTGTATTTTTAGTCGAGGCGGGGGTTTCACCATGTTGGCCAAACTGATCTCAAACTCCTGGCCTCAAGTGATCTGCCTGCCTTGGCCTCCCAAAGTGCTGGGATTACAGGTGTGAGCCACCATGCCCAGCCTATTCCTATGTTTTTGGTGTACCATAAAAGGTTGCTTTTTTTTTTTTTGCAGGGCGGGGACAGGGTCTCACTCTGTCACCCAGACTGGAGGGCAGTGGTACAATCTCTGCTCACTCTAACCTCTGCCTCCAGGTTCAAGCAATTCTCAAGTAGCTGGGATTACAGGTGCTTGCTACCATACCCAGCTAATTTTTGTATTTTTAGTAGAGGCAGGGTTTCACCATGTTGGTCAGGCTGGTTTCAAACTCCTGACCTCTAGTGATCCACCCACCTTGGCCTCCCAAAGTACTGGGATTACAGGCGTGAGCCACTGCACCTGGCCTTTTTTTTTTCCTTTTAATGTTGGCTTTCTTTCTGTTAGATCAGCTCTGGAAGCAGTTTATCCTGTGTCCCTTAAGTAATCTCATCAGAATTTAATGGGGATTGCAATGAATTTTTTACTTTGTGAGACAGCTGACATCCTACACCCATGATGTGGCATGTTTGCCAATGCACCCTCTTTTAGGGTCTTCCTCAGGCGGTCCTTACACACTTCTTGTCCGGTTTGTTTTTAAGATTCTTTGTAGGGAGGTGGAGGGTGAGAAACCCACTGGACCTGGCATGGACTGAACTGTGCTCGTTCTCAGGGTTCTTCAGGGATTTTCTTGCATTTCCACGCAGATGATTGTATCATCAACAAACTACTAAACCCCGTCTCCAATATTTATCTCCTTCCCTCGCCCTGCTGGGATGTCTAGAGAAACACTGACAGCACAGCAAGCAGGACTGTGCTTTTCAGATTTTAATGGGAATACTTTAAATATCTTGACTTAAGCATGATTGTTGTAGGGTTTTGAAAAATTTTCTCCTGTTACAGCTTATTAAAAGGAATATGCATCCATTTTTTAAAATGTTTTAATGTCTTTAATTTTTCTTTTGAGACAGAGTCTTGCGCTGTTGCCCAAGCTGGAGTGCAATAGCGTGATCTCAGCTCACTGCAACCTCTGCCTCCTGGGTTCAAGCAGAATCCTGCCTCAGCCTCCCGAGTAGCTGGGATTATAGGCACACACCACCATGCCTGGCTAATTTTTTGTACTTTTAGTAGAGATGGGGTTTCAGTATGTTGGCCAGGATGGTCTCGAACTCCTGACCTCATGCTCTGCCTGCCTCGGCCTCCCAAAGTGCTGGGATTACAGGCGTGAGCCACCCCACCAGGCCTAAATTAAAACGTTTAATTAACTTTTTTGTTTCAGTTTGAAGTTTTAACACATGCATAGTCATGTGACCACCACCACAGTCCACACACAGAATGGTTCCATTCCCCCAAATCTCCTAGCGCCGTGCCCTTACCACAGTGCCTTCCTCAACCCTTCCTTCACCTCTTCCCACCCCCATGCACCAAATGTGTCAAAATCTCCCCGTTGCCATTGCAGAGTAGTATTTCATTGCATAGATATACCAGTTTACCAGTTCACCCAATGAAAAGCATTTGAATTTCAGCTTTTGGTGCTTATGAATAAAGCATCAATAAACATTTATGTATGGTTTTTATGTGGACATGTTTTTCTTTCTCTAAATACCCAAGAGTGGGATTGCTGGGTCATGGGGTTGTGTACGTTGAACTTTATAGGAAACCGCCAGGCAGTCTTCCATTTCCAGCAGGTCCACACCTGGGTCTTGGGGCACAGCCAGCATTCTCCTGCACTGTGGCTGTGGTGCAGGTGCCCGTGGCCTGCGTGGTGGCTGATTCTGCATCTCCTAGTGGCTGGTGGTGTCAAGCTTCTCCTGTGCCTGCTGGTCCTCCTTATGTCGTCCCTGGGGCATGTCTGGTCAAGTCTTTCCACTTTTTGGTTGGACTGTTGAGTTTTCTCTGTGTATTCTGGATACAGGTCCTTAGTTGAACAGGTGATGTGTGAATATTTTCTCCCCATCTTTAGCTGATCTTTTCATTCTTTTCACACTGTCTTTGGTAGATCCAACATTTTTAGGCCAGGCGCAGTGGCTCATGCCTATAATCTGAACTACTTTGGAGGCCAAGGTGGGAGTATCAGTTAAGGCCAGGAATTTGAGAACAGCCTGGGAAACACAGCGAAACCCAGACTCTGAAAAAAAATCCAAAATTAGCCAAACGTGGTGGCATGCACCTCTAGTCCCAGCTACTCAGGAGGCTGAGGCAGGAGAATTGCTTGAGCCTAGGAGGTTGAGGCTGTAGTGAGCTATGACTACACCACTGCACTGCAGCCCGGACAACAGATCATGACCCTGTCTCCAAAAAAAAGTTTTTTAATTTTGATAAAGTTCAATTTATCAAGTTTTTCTATTATGGATTCTTCTATGGATTATGCCTTTGGTATCATGTCTAAGAACTCTACCAAATACTGGGTACAAAGATATTTTTCTGTTTTCTCCCAGAAATTTTATAGTTTTATGTTTTACATTTATTTATTTATTTAGAGACAGAGTCTCAGTCTGCTGCCTGAGCTGGAGTGCCATGGCGCGATCTCGGCTCACTGCAACCTCCACTTCCTAGGTTCAAGTGATTCTTCTGCCTCAGTCTCCTGAGTAGCTGGGATTATTACAGGCGCACACCACCATGCCCACCTAATTTCTGTATTCTTTAGTAAAGACAGGGGTATCATGATGTTGGCTGGGCTGGTCTCAAACT